GGAGGGACAGCTCAGGAGGGGAAGACCCTCTATGAGGTGGATTGATTCGGTGAGTGGGGTAATCGAGATGGGTGTGTCAGAGGCAGTGCTGTTGGCGCAGGATAGAGCAGGGTTCAGGGCTGTTGTGCATAGGGTCGCTATGAGTCGCAAATGACTCGACGGCACATAACAACAACAACAATAATAGCCCATCAGATAAGGTCCATCATGTGTAAAGTCAGTTGTTGTTATTGATTGCCATCAAGTCAAGAGTGACTCATAGCCACTATATGAACAAAAGACCTAATGCCTTTCCATAACTATCATCATTACTCCAAGTTCATAGTTTCCGGAGGCATGTGGTTTAGGAATTGGATGCCACTCCTGCTTCCAAACCCATTTTACAACTGGAAGCTCCACCAAACACTGCCCACTTTGGGATACCATTCTGGTATTTGTTACCTCAATGGTACAAGGTTCAGCATCACAATCACCCAGATTACTTCATACTGCACATTGATAGAGTGATATACAAAGTGGAAGAGTGTTCCTCCAGATAAAACAGCACTAGTTTCATTTAGCAGTTGTTAAATGTCATCAAGTTGAATATGACTGAGAGTAAGCTTTGCACAAAAGACCTGAACTCTGTTCTATAACGAACAGCATTTCTGAGCAGAACTCCATTCTATAATTAATATCATTTCTGTAAATGTATAGAATTTAGAGAATTTGTAGAGTTTAGAAAGCTTGTAGAGTTTTTAGAGGCATCTAGTTTAGGAGGTGGATATCACTCCTGCTTCCCAGCATAAATCAATCTGGAAGCTCATCCAAACATTAGACATAATGGGTAACTGTTATGGTATCAGAAAAGACTATGGAACTGTGCAGCATCACAGCAACACCAAGTTATTCAGTTTAGCAAATAGATAAATGATTGCTATATAATATAAGGAAAAGTCATTCAAAAATTAATAAATTTGACCCCAAAAACTTCCCTTATGTGACTGACAGGACTGGCATCAAGATGCCAGCTAGCAGCCAAACTCCCAGAGTGGAGGCTCCAGGCCCTGGCCTGCTGTCCCATCCCCCACCTGTTAAGTGATAATTCAAGATAAGGTATTTCACCAAAGTGGGGCCAATTTTTTCTATGTATTTTCTTTCTGGACCTTCACATAGGGTCTCTTAAAAAGATATTTGCAATGAATACAAAATTGAAAATTCCAAATTCAATCATTTTATTTCCAGCTTCATTTCTATCACCAACCCATGTTTTCCAACTGTTATTCCTCCTTTGCTGTTTCTGACTTTTCAATTACAGTCACTAATTATCATTAACACATCTTAGTTTGGTGAATTTCAGACTGCAAGATTTGGTAAAAATTTTCAATTTCTTTCTCTTTGGGTTTAGGTATGTTGTTGTTGTT